GGGTGGGGTAACACCAGGCTTTGGGATCGTAACGGGAGGCGGAAGGATGAGCCGCCGTTGCGACCATGGATACGCTGGCCGCTGCTGCTGGCCCTGAGGTTGTTGCTGTTGCCCAGACGGGCCTTGAGACTGGAGTTGAGACGGCGAAGAATTGTACTGGGTGCTTTGTGGGCTGCCATTGCCCGGTTCAACGGAGACGCTGCCGTTTCGAGCCTGGCGTTGTGCCTGCACTTGTGGCGGGATGCCGTTCTGCTGTCCGTGAACGTTTGGGCTCCCACGTCCATTCAAAGAGCTGCAGGGGACGCGTTCAGTGACGGCGGTCTCGGCATGGAGGACACACAGCGCATAGAGACGATAGAGCGCCGGGCCGAACGAGGCATGATTGAAGAGCATTGTACACTCACCCATCATAGCTCGTCTCCTTCGAAAGCTGCTTAGGCGCAGGTGGCTGCTGAGCCTGTTGCTGGGCCTGCTGTTGGGCCTGCACCTGCTGAAGCTGTGCGAGGGCGGCGCTCGCAGATGGGACGATGACTGCAGCTGCAGGCGGGGGAGCATGCTTCTTCCGTGTGAAGAATGACATTCTTCTGGATCTGGGATCTAGGAGCGACGGTATGGCTGCTAGATGCGCGGAGCGCAGGTGGGGAGGACGACGGGAAGGAGGGGAGGGGAGAGAAGAGCTCAGCAGGCCCGCCTGTGATGAGCGGAGGATGGACGTGCAGGACGGGACAGTTCCTCGCTACAGCGCGCCTCTAGCAACCGCCTCGCGCTGATCCCCGTTTGCGCCTGTTTGCCGTCCCCGCATTCACCATCTCCCATTATTCTGCTTTCGCGTATGACCACTGCCAACGTAGCTTTCGTTCACGACGACCGCCCGACAAAGTGCTACGGTTCCAGCGCACCGCCCACCTCGGACATCATGCTCAGCGTTGCCAACAATATTGGTTCCCTCCTCCGCTCTCCTACCGCTGGCAGATGCGATTCATCAATGCGTAATCCATAATCACGTCCATGCCCCTTTCGTTGATGTGATCAAGAACAGACAACATTGATCTCCACGAGACTTGGGCAACCGTGATGATCTATGCCGCAGCTGTACCTCAGATGAGCTTGTTCGGGCCAGTGCACCGCTCAGGCTGCCAACTGTGAGATCGCACTACATGCTATGCTTGTTGTCTGAACGCTTTCTGCCGGCAAGAGAATGTTATGAAAGTCTGTTCATTGCGTAACGTGTGGAACGTTCATCATGAACCTGTATCACGAATTTGGAACTCCTTTGCGCGAGTTGGAGACCGTCGCACCGCCTCTACGTTCCGCATACCGTTTGACCCGTTACGCGAAAAGCTAGATTCCTCGAGGCACGATCCTCGACCCTCAGCAAAACAGGCACGGTTGATACAGGTTAATGGAATTCGCCTTGATAAATGCATTCGACATCGTTAGCCCACACGTAGCGGCATACGGTACGGGACTTCCAACATTGCAGAAAACAGGGAGTCAAATAGGGCCACAGCTGAATTCGGGACCCCCAGGACTCCGGAATCTACGCGACGTCGATACGAAACCTTAAGAACTCATGGGAACTCGCCCCCAAACACATGTATGTACGTACATGTGAGGATCGCACGCTTGCTGGATGTGATGTTGAAGATGTATGTCGTCAGCAGGCCTGTCATGAGGTCAACAGCGAGGTCTGCGCCCGATAATTATGCGATCGAGTGTAAACGGATCCCAAAGTTAATGTCCATGTCAAGCTGATGGCGCTGTAGAAGGTGTTTGCATTGTGCACAATTATATGGGCAGGGCAATGATTGAAACCGTCTGATTGCTCGTGCTGCAGCAAAAGGCGGGGGTCGCGGCGGAGTCCGATAACGTTCTGCGAAACAGGGCGAACATAGCGTAGCAACTATTCACTCGCCTCGCGAACGCGAAACGTCATAAATAAACGCGTGACCACCCATCAGTTTTAAGCGCTCGCCCGACCACCCTGCAAAGTTATACGCATTCTCTACCCCACTCCTCCCTCCGCCCAAGCAAAGTGCTGGTCCCCCACCCTCTTAATAGTTTGCGTCTCGATACTTCGTCCCGTGATCCCCTCTTGTATTCCTCCCCTACACCGCACATAGCGCGGTATACAAATACATGTACAAAAAAAAAAAAGTGCTGGTAAAACTAATTAAACTCTGCCTTGTCATGTGAGGCCGGATACGAACAGCACGCTGCATCTAAGCACCAACATTGAGCACGTACGAGCGCTCAGTGCAGGAAGGCCTTTGCGACAGTCACCACCTACGAGAATCCGCCATTGACAATCCTCATCATTACTCCCTCATCATCTCTCCCGGAACCGCCCTTACCGTAACCATCACCGGTAATGCGCCTTTCTGCGCCAAGAACAAATCCTGCATGTCTTCCTCCCACCTCTTCGCATCATACCCCTTCGCAAACTCCAACCTAAACGCCTGCAGCACGCTCGCAAGCACCATGCGCAGTTCCATGAGAGCGACAGGACGTCCCGCGCAGTTCGCGGGGCCCGTCGAGAACGGGATGTATGCGCGTTGCTCGAGGACAAAGTCCGCCTTGGTCTCGGAGGACGAGACGAGCCACCGTTCTGGCCAGAATGTATCGGGCTTGGGAGAGAAATAGCTCGGGTGGTGGTGCAGGACGTACGGAGGGACGTACACCGCGGTACCCTCTGGGATGAAGTCGCTGCGTTAAGCATGATCAGTTAATCGACTCTCGATGACGAGGTGGCAACAGAGCTGATCGAATACGACAGGCCGCTCACCCTGATCCGAGTATGTGGCCGCCGCTCCCAGGCTCAGGCGCACGCTGGAGACACGTCAATATAGACGGTAGGAGGCGCAGGGACTCGTTACTACGCCGGGCATCCATCAGCTCGTCTCTTCACAATATCGCCGCCGGATACGTACATGACCGCGTTGAGGTACTCCATCTGTGCAAGCTTTGCACAGTCGACAGGATCACCCTTCCCTGGCGGAAAATTCGCGTCAATCTCCTCCTGCAGTCGCGCGTAGCACTCCGGGTTCGCGAGGAGAAAGTAGAGTGTATTGCTGAGTGCGGTAGCGGTGGTGTCCGAGCCCGCAACGACAGCCAGCATGGCTGCATTAGAGGGTATGATAGGCGGTGGCTCGGAGTCGTTGTGCTGCTTGCCTTCGTCGAGCTGCGCTGGTCGCGTCGGTCACGATGACATCCACGCGCACCTTACAAGAAAGGAGCACGCCGCGATGAGGACATACCAGATGGTAGAACAGGTCGTTGTGCACGGGACCATCCTTTAGGCGCTTCGCAATTTGCTTGGACGCGAACTGTCCGAGGGCGAGCATCTCCGTGACTGCCCAGGGGATGTACAGCAGCACGGGAGCAAACCATGGGATGTGCTGTGTTAGGGCGGGAAGGCTATCGACGCGGTTGGGTTAGTGGGATGTGAGCGAGGCGGCGGGAGTTCAGAGTAAGTGCACTCACTACAGCTCATCCTCGAGCAACTGCCACAGGCCGTGCTTGTCGCCATCGCGAAGGAGGTCGAAGGGCGCACCAAAACTACACGTAGAGAACAATCAGTAGCAGTGAAGACAGAGAGCGCAAGGTACCCACGCAAAATCTCCCATAAAATCAAAGCTGACCGAGAAAATACGCGTTCATCAGCTTGTCAACGTCATATTCATGCAGTTCGCCACTCACGAGAAGAAACTGAGCCAGCGCGCCATATCCGTCTGCGCCGTCCCGCCGTCTCGCTCGCACTCTCTCCTGATCCCGTCTACGAGCATGCTTGCAAGCTCCATCGCGATCGGCTCGTAGCCCTTGACTGCCTGGGTGGTGAACACGCGGTTCCAGATGCGCCGCGCTTCGGCGTGGTGCGTCCTGTTACGCGACTCGATCAGCGTGCCACGAACGCTCTGTGTGCCCTTGCGGCCCTCGTTCCGGCGACCTTCCCACACTTTACAAACTCAGGTGAGGTCTCATGGTTGACATAGAGAGCGAGCAGCTTACGGGGTCCCTTATGCATGCCATTTGCGCCCAAGATGGATGGGAGGAGCTCAACGTCAATCACTGATAGTTCATTGGGCCCTGCGTTGTCACGCATATATTCAGCATCGACCCGCTTCATCCGCAACACTAGCTAGCACGACGCCTACCGACGCGCACGACTGGCCCATACGTCTCGTGCAACTGCCTAAAGTACTCATGCAGCTTCCCACGGGAAGTCACGTATACCAGCCAGAGCTTTGAGAGCTTGCACGGCAGGGGCCCGGGGTGCTTTGCGAGCGGATGCCACGGCGAGAGGCGATACGCGACGAGAGACGCGAGCAATGTTGAGAAATGGACGGCATACGAGAGTAACACAGAGTGGGCTGTTGACTGCAGGGCAGGGCGGAGCACTGCAGCAGGTATTGCCGGAAGGAGACCAAGTAGCACACTGAGCGAGAGGAGGTCGTTCAGTTCGTATCTCTTGAATATCACGTATGCGACCTATCAGATCCAGTGATCAGCATGCGACGCGTCCAGGAGAGGCTCCAGACTTACGAAGCCAAGGCCAAAGGCCAACGCGAGGCCGCCTTCGAGCGTCGACATAATTGTCGCGGGATGGTTGTGTAAAACGTAGCGGTTGAACGCAAGTGCGCCTTACGATCTCTGACAGAAGCGCGCGCCTCTCGGTACGCCGTGGAACGCAAAATGACACCGTCACACATGGTGAAGTAGTGGTCATTGCAATGATTCTCCAAGAATATGGGCAAATGGGGTGGCTCGCCGCATTATCCACGCGAGATCGCGAAAGGCTAGCTCAGTAGCGACTATAGACGCCATCGATGCCCTGGACGCGACCTCATGACACCGCGTAGAATGATCATGTCTTCAATTGCATTGCTCTATGCCGTAATCGTGTGTCAATTTCCCTCACGGTTCTCTATCCCAAAGTTCTATTTCCAAGACCTTGTTTCTTCGACTTCAAGAACGGTTTGGATACTTTATGTTCTCTGCAATGCGATTGGAACTGTGAGCATCAGGAGGATTAAGCAAATCGAAGATACACACCAGTCTCCAAGACGTGTATGACGTCTGGATCCTCGGGCTCTCCTCCGAGACCACCAAGCACAAACACCCGCGAGCCCACGGAAGCCATAGCATGCCCAGAACGGGGGCTCGGTGCCGGACCCATCTTCTGAAACATATACCATCGCTGGTCTAAGAAGTTGTGATAAACATTCAGCTGACATATAGAAGGTCATGAAAATGCACTCACTGGATATCTTGAAGGCGCCAAGGTCGCCCAAATCCTTTCCATCCACTCCCCTATCTCCAAATACATAAATTACATCATCAACTAGCGACGCAGCGTGGCCTTCTCGTGGCGAAGGAATGTAACCGA